AAGTGGGCATCCTCTTCGAATTAGAATCCAAGAACAAAAATCAGCCGTGAAAAGACACGATATATATTCTTTGGTATCAATGCATATAGACAATTATGGTCATCAATTTGATTGGGATAATGTCGAAATCTTAGACAGAGGAAACACCAAAAGTGCAGTCAGGGAATTCCTAGAAGCCTGGTACCCAAACGAAAATGCAATTAACAAACACGTTAATATAGACCAAATATACCAACTAATAAAAAGTAAATCAGGTGATTAGACAGTATAAAATCCAAGTCAACAGAAAATGGTCAACACATATGTAAAGATAGTTACCGTGAGACGCAATTATATCACTCATGAAGAAATTTAAATCATTTCACTTTGTGCTAGATATGGCGCTGAAGATGTTGTCCAGAAGGACGACAAAAGCTCCGCAACCAAACCAACCAGCCCAAAGAACACTATTAATTGCAAATCATCCATCTGAGCTACAAATCTTCTCTATTATGTGTTACTTATGCCTAGTCATCGCCTTCCCCGACGGGCAATGTTAGCTGACAATAGGATCAGGTTGGAAAAGAGCTAGCCGTAGTCAAATCAAAACATGGCATCAGTCAATGAAATCTACAACAGTTAGTCTAAGCCACGTAGAAAGGTGTAGACTTCCTAGTTAGGGCCTGCGGGACGTTAAAACCTAATGGCTGGAGACAATTGGTGATATGGCTCAAAATCGTTCTCAATGGTTAGCGCAGATGCATCCACTCCTTGTGACTTATAATTTCCAATGAAACTGTTTTGTTCTTCGATATTACTATTCTTTTCGCCTGATATCTCTGTTTCGAATCTCTTTTTACTTTCTTCTCTTGCTTTGTTTGCTTAGTGAAGTGTGGCAACTCGAACTGTTACACATCGGTGCATAGTCAGTCATCGTTATCTCATGTTTTCCCATATCACTATTCTTTTTCATATACATCTCTGCAAATTATGGTCTGTTTAAAAAACATTTTTTTCTATACCTTTGCGTGCTATGTGTACTGCAGCAACCTGTACTGTTGTACTTTTGTGTAGAAGTTCTACGTTGAGATACAGTTAGTCAGGTATGTGTAGTTACAATTAATCCACTAAAGAATGTGTTGTCATGACTTGTAAGCTGTAATTAAAGAATCAATGCTTCTCAATATACGTCTAACTACTTTGTATTAATGTGAGTCTTGTATTGTTATTATTATTATTGTTTCCTTTAATTCCTAGAGGAACATAGGGCTTCAGCTGTGCGTCTCCATTGCGTTCGGTTCTCTGCTAGAGTTTTCACCTGGCTCCAAGTCTGCCCACACGTTTTCATCTCCTCTTCACATGATCTCCTCCAAGTCACCCTTGGACGAACAACTCGCAGCTTTTTGGTGTGGTTGTGTTCTCTGAGCTGGATGGTTTGGTTGCGAAGCTTTCATTGCTCTACTGAGCAACATCTTCAGCGCATACTTCGATGTGAAGTGAGCTTTTAGAATTCTCTATGAGTTTATTAGTCATCTCTTCTAGTAACCTTGAACGTGAAGTGTCACACGAAAACAACCAATCACGTTCAAGGTTACTAGAAGAGATGACTAATAAACTCATAGAGAATTCTAAAAGCTCACTTCACATCGAAGTATGCGCTGAAGATGTTGCTCAGTAGAGCAATGAAAGCTTCGCAACCAAACCATCCAGCTCAGAGAACACAACCACACCAAAATCATCCACCTGAGCTACAAATCTTCTCTATTATATCTAACTCGCAGCTTCCCTTTCGGGTTCCACTCGAGCAATGGCTTGTCTAGTGATGTCACTTGATGGTTTCCTCAGAGTATGACCAGGCAATCCATCTCAATTTCTTCCTGCATATTTGTTTCACAATCGGTTCCTGGTTGGTTCACTCCCAGAGATCCCCCCTGTTGCTGATCTTTTCCGTCCATCTCATCTTGAGTATTGAGCGAAGACAGATGTTGATGAGGGTATGTTGTTTGTTTGAGATGCTCTTTATGACGCGCAGTGCAAGTCTCTGATCCGTAAAGTCTTGTATTGAGTGTGTCGATTTGATTCTCTCTGTGGTCTGGCATCATTCAAAACAAGCATATTTACGTTTATGACACTACTGAAAAGGCTATAATACAAATAAGCTGTTTCGAATTACAAACCATATGTGCCATCAATACACCTCCACGTTACTCAATTCCACTTAAGTAATATATGTAAAAAACAAGTAAATTACACCGCTGACTGAATACATAACACTTATTCCAACTCTTTTCACCTAAAATAATCGATTATTTGACTAAATAAACATATCTATAGAGAATCTACTCAAAGAGTGGTTAATATTATTGATTATGTGGAATAAACTAGTTTAGAATGAAAGTATCAATTTACACATAGAATACATGTAACACTATACTTCACACCATTATTAAAAAAATTTCTTTGTTTGCAAGATTTACTACGTAGATTTACAAGTTAGGAAGGTAAGGTAAAGTTTGCTTTATGATTAAATTGACTAGTTTTTGGTAAAATCTTTGTAATCTGATGATTATTACAACAGCCTGAATAATGAATACAAAGTTCAAACAAATCACATGTCTAAGTGGACAGGTGACAATCAATATCTATTGACAGGTAACCTGCCTAGACTGGACAGTATCTTAATTACAACAGCTTCCGTTCAGTCCAGTACAAAAGAGTCTTAGTGAGGGGTCTCTTTAGAGGAAACCAACAAATATGCACGGAAGACATACTTGAAGATGTAGAAAGAAAAGTGACACGAACTCTTTTTTTTATTCCTTCACGTTCTCAGTGGAATATAGGGCTTCAAGCTAGAGGCTTGAAGTTTCTGTAACAGTGTTTATTTTTACAGGATAGGGTTGCTAGCCTCATGCCCAACCTTTCCTATTCACCAGCTTTTTAGTTCAGACTTAGCGAGGTAAAGGAGTGCGCCGACTGGGGATCGAACCCCGGACCATGTGCATGGCCGGCGAGCGTCCTAACCGCTATGCAACCGACGCACACAAACTCTGGCTGCTAATAATAATCCAGGGGAGTTCATAAGGAGATATCAAGTGGTCAGGACTCCAAGATCCATTCTCCAACTAGCTGCTAAGAAAGACGTATATATCAAGCTGCCTTATATGGGGGATCATAGAAGCTAAGTAACTCGACAACGGCTGAACGCCGCAGTTGAAAAACCTTTTTATGCAGCTAAGATCAGCATAATTAGAAATATGAAGCCCAAACATTCATCCTAGCCCTAAGAACATAAGAAAAATAATGTCACATCCTACTGTGGCAACATATACCTAGTGAGGACTCATCGATCTCTGCAAGTAAGGGCTGGCTTCAGAGCATATTCCTAAATGGCTCCAGAAGCAAAGAGAATCCCCAGAACCCAATAATGGTGTTAACAGGAGACCTAGCTCCTCTGCTGTGAAACATATTACAGAGACAAGACATAAAATTGACGTTTGCGCATCTTGTAAACCTCTCTATAAAGACTGTTTGGAGCGTATTCTAAAGTCTGTGGAGGCCCTAGCTGGCAATTCGGAAGTTTAAACCACCTTTTGCTTTCAAAAACAATTCTTCATCACATTTAACCTTATTTGTTAAACTACGGCATATGTACTAATACCTCCCCTATTTGGTTTAGTGATCTGCATTGTTATTTTGGCCTTCATTATGTCCTTTAACTTTAACTTCTTCAACTTTCTCATCCCTCACCGCTTTATTATTTTCACATATATTCCTATGACAAGTACGTTTATGATCAGACTGTTCGAAATATGTTGCGCAATTACACTACACAGTTCAGATAAATTACGTCTTCTTATTGCTTTGTTGAAATTCATAAAGAGAACTAATCGTTTGAAATTAAACTCTGTTTGGTACATTAACAGAAGACTTTTACTCCGTTGACTTCCGTGCATTTTTGACGATGGCACACAATTATGCGAAAACGTATAAGCTCACGTTGAAGTAATCTCTTGTAAATAAACTATTAGTAGCCTTGAAAGTGACGATGCCTAAATTGTGAGTCTGAGAGTTTAGCTAATTTTACATGAAATCATAGCTTCTTTGGTATCACCTAACAGAAAAATTACTAAAGTATATCCCATTCTATTTGATCCATAGATTTTAAGAAGTCGTGGTGTTTTTGCTGAAATTCTAACCCAGTACTGAAGTTCGACACTTGCAGACGTTATACAATAAGCTACTGAACGACTAAACTTCTCAGGGAGTACTGGATAATTGTCTCGTCCTGGTCGGAGACTCTTCATCTGTACGCACCCATGAACTCAATGGCAGTCAAAATCAGCTTATTAATCTAGTTTCCATTAGTGACTGACAACAGAACAAAGTTGTATAGAGTTCTAGTATGAAGTCGTAACCAATGGGGTCAACGAGGTCAGGTTGAGAATAAGTAGTAGTCGATGATGTTGGTTGGAGGTGGCGTTAAAAATCATGCAATGAAAGAAGTTGGAATTCATGGACCACTAGGTTCTGTCTCAGTAGCTGAATGGTCCATGAGCTGGGTCCATAAAATGAAGGTTCTCCGTTCGATCCCCAGTGTGTTCATGGGAACGTACTTCTGAAGAGTTCCAAACTAGGGAGAAACGGCTGTCCAGTATTCTCTGGGTTACAAGTGATGTTTTCCAACTGATGTCAGTCTGTATTTACACCTGAAACCAATCATATCTCCACAAGTTAACACTTGAAAACTAAACTTGTTTCTTGTAGATCAGATATCATTGCGTTTTTTGTATTTGCTGTTTACCGGTACCAATTTCTGTAAACAGAAATGATTGTTCCCCTTGACAACTGCTATCTGATGAAAAGTTGATAACGAATTTACAAATGCAAACAAATAAACAAACAAACGAAAGTGATTACACTAATAAAATGCATGTCGACGAAATGCATTCTAACAAATATTTCCACATCATTTATTCATCAGTTACCTTTCTTTTTGCTTTCATGCCTTCAACTACACTCAGATAGCTGAACATCAATCAAGGAAAGCAGCAGAAAAACGAGAACAAGCTGAAAATGAAGCAGCTAGATTGAAATTTCTTCGTGATATGCATGCAAAACAATCACGTATAGATATGGCACGACTTAAAGAAGCACAAGATTTACGTTTAGCTGAAATTAAACAAAAAAGATTATTAAGTCAATTGGAAAAAATTAAACTATCCGATGAACGTGAAAGCAGGTTGGAGAAATTAAGAAAAAAGGTAATAAATCTACTTGTATGTTTTCTTTTTAAACTACATTCTTTACTTCATAATACATTGGAAATAACTTATGAAGTTGCAGTATCAGAGATTTGTAACTAAGATATTTGATTGTAAAAGTATTGTTATCAATCAAGGTAACTTAGTCAGCCAAGAAAACACAGAACCTCCTCCAGGCTTGTTTTGTTTGGTTAACTGGGTCAGCTATTTTGTGCAGCTGAAACTCATGAAACACTGATAGATTCTTAGCTTCTACAAAAGGTTTAAAAAGCAGTACTTTGAGTTGTTTCTAGTTCTTTTGAATCTGTGATGTCGACGCTCATGGTTCATTCACGATTTATTCACTGCAATAGTAATATTTGTCTAAAGAACATAACAGTTTTTTTCTGATTTTGTATGAGAATTGTAGGTAATCAAGTTGAAAATATAAAAAATGTTAGACGGTTATATGCGCCTGTTCCCCTATTCCAATTTTAGGTTCATTCACCTCATGGAATAGGTTGTTTATTCTGTGAGCGACACCAAAGCTCCGGTGGCGTAGAAGTAGAATGCTCGTTAGCCACTCAGGTGGTCTAGGGTTTGTTCCCGGGCAGAATCAGTCCCTAACCTCGCTAGGCTTGCAATAAGCCTGACAAAGAGGGAAGGTTGGGTGTGAGACTTGCAATCTCACCTCGTAAAAATAAAACCACTGCTACCGAAACTTCAAAGGCATAGCTTGAAGCACTATGTTCAACTAAGAACACAAAGGAATAAAAATTAGATTGTTTGAGCTATTTCTGATATCGGTCATCCAGTTTCTTTCAATTAATCACTTATGTAATGCGGGATGATTGAAGGCAGAGCGATAGTCTAAGTCGCAATAGGATTCGAATCAGTGGTCTCCAAATTATTCGCCTGTGATTTTCCGAATTTCATATTAGGACACTAGTTGCAAGACAGTCACGTGAAAACTTCCTTTCAGATGTACTGGAAAGTAAAATAAACCGTCTGAAGTAATTTAATCAGTTAAAAACATTGGATAGGACTAAGGGATTGACTGATGATTAAATACCCAGGTAGTGTTGAATGCTCCATCACTGATTAGTCCTCATTGCTTCTCCAAGCGGTAGAATATTAGCAATTGGATTTAGTGGAATTTTGGTGGCCTTAAACTACTGAACTTAAAAAAAATTAAATGAAAAATGGGCTCTGTTTACTGAACACTAGTCTTGCAGAGCAGAAAACTACCAGGATATTCACAACATGAGATGCAAACTGTTGACATTACTAGTCAGATTATTATTAATCCTTTAGGTTCCGAGTGGATTGTAGGATTTCGGCAGCCAGTCACCATTGCACTCCGTTCTCTGCAGTTTTTGTAGCTGGCTAGACGATTGCCTAAAAGTTTTGATTCCCTCCACACACGATTTCCTCGATATCACTTACAGCTGACCAACAAGTACTTTCTAATCAGATGCTTCGACTTAATTAATTACACTGAGGTTTCATAGGTTATGTGTAGTCTTTGTCTTAGGCCTAGAACTTGCTAGTCAATTAATAATAAGTAAGCGAAGGATCACTTATCATCCTTGTGGCAAAAGAATCGATTTGAAGGCGGGGTGAATGCCATGAAAGCTATTGAGTGTCGAGCAAAACGGGAACAATAATTACAACGGAAAGAACCACTATTTAACAATGTAAAACAATACACCTGAACAAAATTAGCAGCAAATCAAATGAAAACGGGATGTGTTCATCAGTCAGCTAGTTTTTTACACTACTGTGTTGATAATCTGAGGGATATTGGGTGAAATCGCGCTGTAAAATAGTTTTTATTTAGTATCACAATATTTAGGTTGGCCTGTTAAGCTAAAATGATGTTTATTTGGAAATAAGGTAAATTAACTACAATCATATTTCAAAATGGTTCTCTAACCGTTGTCAACTCATAATGAAATCCTGTAACCAATCATATTTCATTTCTAATCAGTCTAAAATGCTACACTACAATAAGATGTAATTTATCAGAGTTGTGTAATGTATTTGCTCAAGACATTTCTAACAGTCTGATCACACATAAATGTTACGGGAAACCGTAGAGCGTTTAACTGTCTTAGTGCAAAATGTTAAATGAAATGCAGATAGATCTCCATATTCAACGTTTGGTCAAAATTTCACGTAAATTTCCAAAAAATGGATTTAGCATTCTCACTTTAGAGACATTTATGTGGTAAGTGTTAAGATTGTGATATTTTCGGAATCTCATCAAATAAGAAAAGATTTCGTATCCATAAATGTTAATTATGAAAAATGATTTTTAAAATAAATTTCCATTACTTAATTTTTATTCTATTTGAATAGAGATGTCCTCAAGGGATAGGTTTCTTGAAATTTGGATTTGATTGTAAAGTTATCAGCCAAATGTACTTTTCTACAGTTTCTAATCAACTTTTTCATATTGTTGTTATTATTTGTTTAATCATATAAACATGATTGAACTATAGGTAGTGGATAACGTAAATTTGTATGATGTTAGGTGGTCGGAGGCAGTCGGCAGGAAGCCTTGGAACTAGGTTTCATGTTAGTTGGCACTCGTCAGCAAGGTGTATCTGCAACCGTGAAGGAACTCATTTCTCTTCTGAGATCCGAATGCGCGTCATCCAGTGCTGCAGTCAGAGACACTACGACTGAGCTATTCGGGCTCGCTATTGACCTCCTGTAGGACTGCATTGGATACTTTGATTGGACACTGGTTACATCGAGATCTTAGTTCTTGATACATCTTATTCTCTCCTACTATTATCTTACCCTCTTGTCATTTTATATCAGATCCTCTGCCATGATGAAGACCAAACGTACCTAATATTCAATATTATTTCTAATTATTATCACTTTATAATCTGTCATGGTGTGATTTGTCATTTGCATAACCGTTTGCATTTTCCCTTGTTCTTGATTAATTAGATAAAAAATCTTGTGGTATTTGTTTCCACTTATATTTATATATACGTGCGGAAGGATTTATTCTGTGCTGATTTTACCTTTGAACTACTGTGCATCGGTGGCACAGCGGTTAGGATTCTCACCGACCATTCACATGATCAGGGGTTCGATCCCTTGCCGATGCACACCTGATATCAATGGTCAGCCTGCAGAATTTGGGCTATCGATATCAATATCTTGTACCAAAAATACTGTGTGGAATCAAGCTATAATAAAAAAAACATTATCTGCACTTGGTATTAACATCTTAAACCATTTAACTATGCATATGTGGAGTGCTTAAAGCATAAAAAGTGAATTTAATTCAACAGTAGTGTAATATTAGTATGATGGTGACTAGTATTGAAATCAAAGTTGCTCATTTCTTTCTACTAAGGAACCTTCATCTAAATGTACCTGTATCCTCATTGAGTGACGGGTAATTCTCCACTTGAAACATGATACCCCGGCCCATCCATTGTTTCAAAGGAAAATGGACATTTTGTTCAACGAAAAATCGAAATCAACTTAGGCACTAATTTTATTGGAACTAATGATTTTATAAAACATGCAGTCTTCAGCACTTTACATACTGTAAAAGCCACCAGCACATTCCACAGACAAAATCAAAAGAAGCAACTATGAAAACTGCTGTTTATGTAAACCAACTGATGAATGGTCATTTTCTTTTATAAATGTACACTTTATAGCTTGCAACCTTCTACTATGACATTCTCAAATTTATACGGAACACGAAAAGTGATAGTTTGAAATATGTATTTTTTATATGCATGAATGAAATTAATACAATTCAAAGAATATCTTTGATTGGTTAAAACAAGAATAAAAGTAGTAATTTGAAGTTTTACGTGTTTGATAGAAGAGGGTATTTCAATGGTGCAAAGTTTAAGTATGCCATCACTTTGAGATTATTATTATTTTTAGTTAAATAGCAAAGGGGACAAGTGCTCGCCGAAGACATTGGTTGATGGTGTCACTGTATCGTGAATTGGCAAAGTTGGAATTCATGGACTGGCCATTGGATCGGGTCCCAGTGGTTTAATGGTCTACGAGCTCACCTTGTAACCAGAAGGTCCTGAATTCGAAAGCTGGTGGATGTGTACTGATGAAGAGTCCGGTAATAGCACAAAACACCTGACCAGTACTCCCAGGTCTTTCATTGGTGCTCTAACTAGTGTCAGCTCATAATGAAGTCGTCGTAGGTCCTTTTATGTCATTTGAAGAGAAGTGAATATTTAGTTTGTTCGAACAAGAGATTATACATATATAATATTGATGAAAACGTTTTCAGAAACCAAAGCTACAATATCCTCCATTTTCTTTAGGTTCGACCAAATGTTTTACCAGATCCAAACCGATCAATGTCTGAAACTGAAGTAAGTGAAAGTATAATATTCAATATAGTGATTAATTTCACACTATCAATGCTTTCTGATGCGGCTTCATAGATATTCCAACTGAATTGTGTTACCAGTCTTTATCTCATATTGGTTGTTAGTCCATTGAAGTTATAGTCACATCTTGTCCTAATGTATAGGTATTCGCATACTTTTGCTCTCCATGATATATGTAATAAACGGCATAGAGTTACATTAGTGAAATTGTGAGTACAGTAATAAGGTCGAATTTTAGGCTTCTAACAGTACTTTAAATACATTTGTGTATGGATAGTAATATTCACAATATCATTTCGTGCTGATTACAGCAATTAATTACCTGTTTATCTTACTTTATTTCAGAAATTTCAATGTTTTTATATGTTGGATATAAAGTCTGTCTTTTAACATGTGGTCAGTTAGGAAACGAACTAGAAGGATATTCAGTACTAATAGTTAACATTACCGCCTTTCAGTACCGCCTAATTTGTATTATTTTATGCATTGTATGTCTTCACGGTAAATGAGTGTTCCTACCAATCAGGATACAACTAGGTTGATTATGCTTCTCCGTTTATGTTATATGTGTGGCGGGTGATAATTACAGTTTAATTGGAAAGCTGGTTTGCGGTGAGATTCATTTCAGATCGTGGAAAACACCCACTAGGACATTAGAAAGAAGAGAACACCACTTTCAGCGAAGATATCTTTTCGCCAATTTCATTTTCAAAAGCTGTACAATCTCATTTAAATACACTAATTTATATAGATACAATTATTATTTAATTCCACGTCTTCTTTAAAGAGCTGGATTTGGTAACTGATATCCTAAAGAGGAGAATATCCAGCTCTTTAAAGAGGACCTTCCCTGCAGCAACACTACGAGTGACGTTCTCTAGCTGCCCAATACTTCGAAACAATGCAAAGAACAAACTCTCACATATGATGAATTCCATGTGCATATACCAGTTCGCGTGCTCGTGCGGAGCTAGGTACATAGGTCCTTGTATGCTCGTCATTTCAAAACGTGTTCGAGAACATTACCAAGCGTGGATGCAGAGAGGAGGCCCCGGTTCAATCAGAAGTGGGCACCTCCCACAGCATCTCAACCGATTCATTCAAGGTAATTTACAAAGTCAACAGAAACCTAACAAAGGCAGTATGTTTCCGACTTCTTTGTACTGCAGGAGCCCTCGCAATATGCTTCGAAAGGGCCGGAGCTGTATGCTCAAAAGAAATTAGTCCAACCTCTACAACTACCCTGGACCTAGTTCGGTATGTTCCCTTAGCCTCCGTTTTTTTCTTTGCTTTCGTTCTTTTTTTGATCTTTTTTTGTTCGCTGTGTTCGTGATTCTTATTCTCTCTGTCTTCATTCAATTCATCCCATTTTTCAGTCATAACAACAGTTATTTTACGTTTGTTTCCATGCTTTTCCTGCCCACACTTATAATTCGTTAAAAATAACTATTTTACAATTATATCCTAATTCTGTGTAATTTTTGTTTCTAAGACTCTAGTAATCTATATTCACACCTCTTAACTCCCATCTCAAGTTGAAAATTATTATTTCAATTTGTTTCTATGCTAATTTTCTGTAATCCGTTATAACCCTGTGTAATTTTTTTCTAAGCCTCTCGTAAACCATATCTAGTTGGAAATAATTGTCACCTTTTATTCGCCTTTGTAATTATGTGGAATCAAATGAAAAAATTGTATCTATGTAAAATTATGTATTTAAATGCGATTGTACAGCTTTTGAAAAGGAAATCTCCGAAAAGATTCATCTCAGACGACAGTATTAGTCCTCCAATTAAGAGCTATTCCAGATGTGTTTTGTGTTATCTTCCCAGATAACTCGTAAAAGTGGCAGAGGTGGCAATGGCGGGTTCTTCCAATATTTATAAATTCACTAAGTATTACTTTTTCTACTGTTGTTATTTGCTTTAAATCACTATTAATAGGAAGCGGCTGTTTTCACTAAGAGACTTTAAAATCTCATAGGTCTCCGATCATAAGTCAGACTGTTGAATTGTTAGAGCTTTTCACTAGTGAATGTGAAAAGAGGACTGTAAAGACTGGAGAGTGGACAAGCTAATACCAAATGTTTCTAAAAATACAACTGCACAGCTAACTTTTCATATTATTATCATCATTGTTCTGATAAATTTTTGTCAGACAGTTTCTTTTGTTATTCAGAAATGGTAGCCAAACTCAGAAGGATAAGTGAGTAATAATCAAAACATGCAAAAGTTTCAAGGAATGGAGTTTCATTCTTATTTTTGCTGAAAATCCAGTACAAAATTATGTAGGAAGCGAATAAGTGGAAAGAAATAAGAGGAAAGGACGACTGTAAATTCTAAAGGTCAACATTTCATTATTGTTAGATTGTAGGAGGCAGTCGAAAAGAAGCTGTTTACATAGCCTTAAGAATTATTGACTCTTGTCAGCATGATACATTTGAAACCTTGATGGAACTTATATCCTTTTAGAGATCCCAAGACCTATTAGGTAGCGATGAGGTGTGAGACCTTACCACTGACCTATGTTGCTGGTGACTGATCGCTTGTAGAACTGTAATAGATCCACTGGCTGGCAACAAGAGAATGTGCTTTGTAAAGTTGAATGGTAATCGTTAACATGCCATTCTGATCACCTGTACCTTATTAAATTATGTTTAAGATATAATTAATGCCGTATTTATAGTTTTTTGCACTGTCTTATAGTGTACATAATTCTAAATAGACATAGTGAAATCAGTACTTCTACTTGGTTCAGAGATTTGGAGTGTCATGAGAAGCATTTTCAACAGTTTATTGAAGACTTTTATCAACTTCTGAACTCACTGTCTTGATACTGAAGATCGATTCTGCAGAAAGGATTAGCAACAAGAAACTCCGAGAGCGACCCAGCCAAGAATGTATCTTACAACACATATGCAGACAGGAATGAAGATGGATTGAAGTTGGCTTTGAACTAGTGAAAGAAGCCACTGGCCACAAGACTATCACTGGGTAATGGTGGACTAACAGTGAACGGTGGGTTTTGTCGAGGAGGCCAGTGATTATTTCATCCCTGTGATAACCGTAAATTTCAGAAACAGAACTCACTGAACAAAAACGGGAAAAGAGTCCCCTGTAGTACCAATAGTATGCTTGACGCGATTGTAACCTCTCAGAGGAGTTCGACCAAACAAGATTGATTGTTCTGAGAAATCGGCCTGATACTATATATTGAGGTGGCTGGAGCATATTTATGCAAACTTACTCGAGAAACCAAAAACTGCCCCTAATCTCCGCCGATCTACGGCTTGGAGAGAAAACACTAGCCAAGGAGTACGCATTCTTTGGATCAGAGGCAAACTTTCGGGTAATCCAGGTGCACATTGACAACCTACAGTGATATCTCAGAAGTTATCAATCCCTAAATAAATGGAAGTGGAGTGCAGAGAAAGGTAGCAAGGCCTCGTCCAGGAAACTCCCAGGACGCGACAGCATGAGACCTGCGATTTTAAGGCAGTCTTCTGACGCAGTGCACTCCTCTAAGAAATCTGTTCAGACACTTATCAGATGAGTTACCGAAAGTCTGGAAGCGGGTGGTTCTGTCACCTTTATTAAGTGGAAGAGTTGCCGCAAGAAACCAAAGTGCTCTATACTACCATCACAATTACCGGTGATATCAAAAGTGACCGATGGCCTACTGAATGACTGAACCAGGGATAATCTGAACCAAAACAGAATACAAAAAGAGGCTTAAGATGAATTCAGAAAACAGCGATCCTGTGCTGGCAATTAAGGACGAGACGTGATAATATGAGAGCATGCCGGGATCAGGACATTCATGATCCATGTTAAACCATTACGTGCAGCGTCCCACGGAGTCTTGTTGTAGAAAATACCCAAACGAGATTGGGTAATATACTATTGTGGTGAGAACTGTCTGCTAGCCAAAATTGGTAGACAGCAATTTACATCAATGTTTATTTCCCAAATCTTGGTCATGAGAGAAAACAAAAACAGAGCCTAACCTTGAGGAACTCAACAACCAGTCACAGCAGACTTTGCATGGCTGGGTACGATTAGCAGATAAATCAACGGACTGTTTGAAAGATGGCAACAAAGAGGTGACAGAATAGTTTTTAGCGAGAAGACAACCAATCAGAAGACGCTGTTTCTGTGCTTACGATAGCGAATAATAATGTACATAAAAATCTATATATATATCTGTTGATTTTATCAATAAACTATCTGTTGCACGGCCTTTGTCTTCTGTTGTTACAACTTAACTTCACTTCAATATGGACTTTCGCACTGAGTGGTTGGATTGAAGTGCTCCACCTCTGTTAGCATATCAGCTGCTTGTGCATCCAGTGGCGAGTCGCAAGTGGGACAAAATGTGCATTCTGCATTCCATTGCTAGTCTCCATCTACCAAATTACCTCTCCTAATTTGATTGAATATTTTTTATAAGGCTGAAGTAATTGTATTAACTAAATTATCTTTTATTGATTCTATTTTGTTTTATTTATTTACACTTTATCTAGTCATGGAGGTTGAAGATAGACGACCATCTACAACATACTGAAACCTCAATAGAAACACAAATGTCTAATTCTACTGCTACAACTACTACCACTAAAAATGATGGTAGCAGGTTTGGATCAAAGCTATACACTTACACAAATGCTCAATTATATGCAGATAATCGTACACGTCTGACTACAGCACTATATAATGCAGGTGTACTGGATACCGATTATGCTAGAATGGTATTATCAAGTGTATCGCCCAACCGTCAAACACGTAAGGATACAATCACTTCAAAAGAGTTTCAAGAAGCATTAAACGATACTGTACATAATTTGTTTTGAAATTATAGATAAAAAATGTTATATCAACATGTATGTACATAAATATATACTGTAAGATAAATGTATATCTCAGCTAATATAACAGTGTCTTTATTAATGATATTTACTTCTGCTCTACAGAGAATTATACTTTATCAAGGCATAAATGAAGCTTCTTGTACGGTCAGTCAGTCTATAAGTCTACTTTATAAAGTAATGAGTGTATTAGGCAATTTCTGAATATGCAACAGTCACAAGGAATGTAATGCACATTAACAATGAACTATACCTACTTTCTGCGGGGCTAGTTAGCGAAATCTCGTTAGGTAAAGTGGGGGACTTCGGAACTATGCCAAATCTAATATGAAACATATAGTCTATTTTAACTAAGAGCTAGCTTTAAACAGAATTGTTAACTTTTGTGATTGTAAACATTTATTTCCCGATTCGAATTTAAAACAAGCAATTAAGGTTAATAAAGCAGGATTTAGTGAATTCATCAAATTTCGGTAGAACTCGTCAGCTGAATACTCTACATACACGGATATATATACTTCTAAAATTACATTGGGAGATATAAGACTGATAAGTAAACAAACTACATTGAATTAGTCATGCAGAAAGACAGGTGTGAATGTTTTCCAGGTCATGTTCAAATAGATAAGGGGAGAGAGAGTATGAGAGATCGAAATTAAGATAAATTGCACTACGCTTCAATTACATCACTTAGATAAACACTTAGTCATTAGAGAATATAACAAGAATTGCAAACAGAGTAATATCAATAGTAATGGTTATAATATTCCGTTAAGTTGATGGTGTCGCAATGGGAAGCCCTTTGGCACCACTTTTCGCAGACTTATTCTTGTCAGGCCTAGAAGCCGGTAACTTGCAGCAACATATACAAGAAACGGATATATACCTGAGATATGTTGATGACATTTTTATTGTCTGTGGAAGCAGATGAAAAGCTGAAGATATGTTGACTAAATTCAACACATGCCACCCAAATCCCAATTTCACAACAGAACACGAGGAAAACGATACTATTAAATTCCTAGACGTTTTTCTAGCGAAAATGAATGATGGCACAATCGAGAGATCTATATTTAGAAAGTCTTCATGGACAGGACAGTACATGCATTTCAAGAGCTTTGTTCCAATCCATTATAAAAAGAACTTAGTCGGAACACTGTTCAATAGAGCATGAAAAACTTGTTCTGACAGTACTATTGAGCATGAAATAAAATCTCTGAAGGATATTTTATCTAAGAATAGATATTCTGAGAAGTTCATTAATAAATACTCTAAAGAAATTAGCCCCTGCAAAACAATCCAAACAATTCCGAAGAAGTCTGTCTATATCAGTTTGCCATTCAAAGGAGATGATGTACAGGAAGTAGTTAAACGAAGACTGGATAAAGCCATCAAGAGAACTTATTATGCTGCAAAACTTGTTATCCTTAACACCACTAAGTGAGTGCTTCAACAATCTGGGAAAGATCAGTTGCCAATCCTGGACACTTCAAACTGCGTATATCAACCCTGCTTTATAGATATATATATTTCCAAGAGATTGTGATTTAGAAAGTGTGAAAAGTTTGAAATAGTACTAATTTTTGGTGTAGAAGAGTTCCAATTATACAGTTATCTGGAAGTTATTATTGTCAATTCGCTTACTGAAGTGACGCAATAAAAGCATTGAATTATTTGGAGATTTAGATTACTTATTTCAAAAATACATAGTCTAAGATTATATTAAATAAAGTATAATTATATTTCAATGGTTTGCACACAATGATAAGCTTTGTTATCGGCAATATTTTGAGCAAAATTATTGCCCGTCTTCACACCTACTGTTGGAGTTGTTTTGTTTTTAATTCACACATTTATGGTTTGTACTCATATATATAGTTCACTTTATTGTTCATTCATTTTTGTGTATTCAGAATTATATTCCAGGTTGTTGACAGTTGTGATGAATCACCCTTACTACATGTATTCGGCGTAACCTTAATAAATATAGATTCTGTTATAAGTCTCTCTTTCTATTATATTTGTACAAATCAAGTTCACTTTAAACAGTTTGAAAAAATTTGGGTATTGGGTATATGGTATTCATTATTATAGAACTTTTTGTATTTCCCAATGAATGAAAAACAAAAACGATATTGTTTTCACTGACGTTTCTCTATTTAATGCTAATAGCTTTATCAAAGTATTATTAAACCGGAATTTACAAAATCTCAGCATATATATAACAAAGAGTTAAGAGGTGAGAAAATAGACTTAGGTCAAGTTAAAGGACAAATTGAAAAGTCAAAATAACAATGAAGATCACTAAATTAAATAACAAAGGTAATAGTACGTCTGTTATGATATCAAAACAAAGTTTACTAACTTGATCATCGTTCGTCAGTCTGGGGTCATTTTTCGTTGTCAAGTTGGTCAGCTGGTAAAGACAACAAAACCAAGTGTAGATTGTTGGATTTGATCAGTGTGTAAAATTATAAAGGAAGTGTGTGTTTACACAGTGAACTTGCTTATCACTTTCATGTTGATTTTGTCACTTCATGGGGGAGGGAGGTGTTGTAACCAGGTCAGATTCTGTTTTAGTCTATCATTCCTATTCAGGCAATTTGGATTTCACTTGATGTGAAGTGCTTCTGATATTAGACGTTCTTTGTGATTTCTGAAGTTTTTCTGGATTATTTCAATATTGTCAAAATCGATTTTGTGGCCTGATTCTATAGCGTGTAGACCTATGGGTGATGATTTTTCAAGTTTTTCTAGTTCAGTTGGATTTCTCGATGGTCGAACAGATGCTCTACGGTGTTCATTTCTTCTAATTCTGATTTCTGGAGATGTCTGTCCGATGTACATCGCATCATGTTCCGAGCATTTTATTTTATAGACACAATTAGATAGAGAATCTTAAGGGATTTGGCCTTTTATATGGACAAGGTTGCTTTGAAGAAAACTCTAATGTCGAGCTGACTGAGTACTCTTCTGATATAGTCTGACGTCTCTGGTCTATATGGAATGACGACTGTTGAGGTCCATGTTTTCGGAATGCGTTTTTGCCATACTTAATGTCTGTGTTGATTTTGTTGATGAAGTCCCTTGGGTAATTGTTTTGCTTGAGAGTTTCAGTAATGTTTGATATTTCTTCTTCTTTTTCTTTCGCGTCGGTTATCAGAGAGTGTGCTCGTCTAAGAAGACTTGAAACAACTGAAATCTTTGCGCTGATGGGGTTTGATGATTTGAAGTCTAAATATTTATTGGAGTGGGTTCTTTTCCTGAATACGGATATACTGAAATGTCCGTTTTCCCTTCTCTTAAGTAGACAGTCTAGAAATGGTAGTTCACCGACGTCTAATTCTGTTTCCCAAGTAAACTGGATTCTGGGAGATACACAGTTTATTTTCTCCAGGAATGAATTGTGTAGATCTCGTTTTAACACTACAAAAGTATCATCTACATATCTTAACCATATTTTAGGAGTGAGTATGCTTGAAAATATGTCATTTTCGAATTTATTCATGAAAAGGTCGGCGACTATTGGGGAGTTTGGTGAACCCATGGCAACACCATTTGTCTGTCTATATAAACTCCCTTTAAATGTAAAATAATTACTTTCTAGACAGAATTTCAAGCTCTTAATTATTTCACTGGTGTTCAGTGGACATCTTTCTATTTGTTCATATTAATTAATAAAATAAAAACATCGTTCCAATCGACATTGTGGTTTTTGTCCCAATTGCCAATTACCAATAACAAAACTTATCACCAGTGAAATATAATTATACTTTATTTGACCTATTCCGCAATGCTTAAACTTTTTACTGATATTAACTAAGATTATGTGTTTATTTTGTAGCAGATTCTGAATGGCAATTTTGCGGTTTATAAATCCATAAAATAGACCAATATTGCAGTCAGTCTTATGCATGTAGTAAATATATTTTAATGTTTAAACCGTCAGACTTTTCTTTTGAAGAAATGGAGACTGCATTATTAATGAATTTGTTGATGATGACACGTTAGAATTAAGAAGGACAGAGTAATCACAATGTAAATGGAATTAAATTTCAAGATAACGACATATTTGTGGTAGAGTACTGCTATCCAATAAGATACTGTTGGTTAGGGTGGACGGGATCACTCCACACGCCTTGGATATCGAGAAAAATATGTTGGGTCAACAAGAGGAGGAATCCAGAAGATTTTGAATTCGCGAACAACTTATGTCTAGAGTTACAAACCCCAAGATCTGCAGCAGTAAACCGACAAGTTTGCAGAAGAGTCAGGCACCGAAGATAGGACTTCAAGTAAACACAGAGAAGACACAGATGATGGAGATATCCGAGGAACAACAACAAGCATCAATCACTATCAGTGCAGGAAATTCGCAGGAGGTCACCTCTTTCACTTATCTAGACCGCACCATGTCAGCTGCAGGAAATTGTCACTGAGGAGGATTTCAAAGGCAGAATAGCAAAAGTAGGACAGAACCCATTGGTCTGAAATCAGTGTGAAAATCTGCTACACTTTGCTTAAAGAACAAAGTTCGAATTTTCAACATCACTGTTAAGTCAGTGATTTTAAATGATTCAGAGACTTGGTTTGTCATCAAAAACATTTCCAAAAGGTTTCAGACGGCTTTCTGCGTGTTCCGTATCCAAGATCAGGTGGCTAACTAGAAAGGAGTAGTAACAGAGGACTTCGGCAACAGATGAACCAAGAGCCCATAAACCAACAAATATGCAGAAGAGAATAGAGATTGATTGGACACACGCTGAGGAGACCATTGGATGATATTACGTATCAGGCCCTCGAGTGGGACGCGAATGCGAAGTGGTGAGCTAAGTGTATGACAATGATGTGGAGGAGGAGATGAAAGAATATGGACAGTTGCGGATCCAGATAAAGAGGACTACAAAATACAGGATAAAATGGAGCTGTGCTGCTGAGTCTCTGTGTTCCACTCCATATCCAAAAAATTGATATTGAGCAAATAT